CCCCGTTACCTCTGAAGCCACGAATATTCCACTGTAAATAAGCCATGATTTGCAAAGAGAAAGATAAAAGAAATCTGAAGGTAGAGGTATCTATGAACTAGAGGGGTTAGTTAAGTCCACATGTGGAGGCAGCAGAAAATGCACAAGCAGTGAAGGATTGCGATGCTGTGAAGAAAGGAGTTGTGCAGCTGGAGAAGAGTGAAGAGGAACAGGTGGTGGATCAGTGTCCATCAATGGTCTAGTCTCCTCAATGTATTTGGAGATAGCTTCAAATGTTTCAGACTAAGTAAGTTTATTCAGGTATACACAAATACAGTTACATAGAATTTTCATAATGCGCATGTGTGTAGAAACCTAGGATAACCCAAAAAAAAGTCACGTGGCTTATTTCCATTGGGGGTCCTTTTCCTTATTATTTTAATATAAAAGGGTTTTAATATTTTTTTTATTCTACAAAGAAGAAACATCTTATTTCATACTAAAAAAGACTATCAATACCCAGGGCATTTAAAACTATCCAATACGAGGGTCATTATAGGAATATGGTAAAAAATTCACGTATGTTTGCTAAAAAAATGAAAATCATTTTCCCCCCCCCCTTTTTGTGCTACTCATCAACCCTTTTGGCCCCTCTTTTTGAACTGGTTCATGCTTGATGGCTTTGACATGTGCATGTGAATCTGTATGTGGGATGGCATTGGAGTGGGAGGAGGAGGGCCTAAAGAGGGGGGATGATGGAATGTCCAAAGTAGGGGGGGACGAAAGGGTAGGGGGAACTGGAGAAATTGGGAGGGGGCAGGAGGGAAGCGCCTGGGGGGGGGTAAAAAGGAACAAACTTGGGGGGGGACGAAAGAGGAAGGTACTGTACGAGGGGGATGACCCCTTTACTTCCTTAAAAAGAGCCGAGGTGAAAAAACGGTTTAAAAATAGAAAGTAAAAAGTGCAGGTAGAAAAAAGGAAGGGGAGGGGGGGTTTAAAAGGGGATTTTAACAATGGGGGTTTTTTGGACTTTGGAGAAGTAGGGGGGAGGCTGGACTTGCTTACGAGGCCTTTTAGAAAAAAGGGGGAAGAGGAAGAGGGGAAACGTGGGTGTCGGGTAGGGACTAAGTCCAGGGCAGCAAAAGAATTTGACAGGGGTGCTGGAAAGGGGTGGGGCCACAGAAAAACGAGAAGTTGGGGTATAGAGGGGGGGATCATTTATTAAGTAGGAATGGACCTGAATATTTCACTGGAAACCCCCAAAAAAACCCAAATTTCTCCCCTGAGGGTGTAGAGATCACCTTTCAAATCTTAAATGGTGTCCCGCAATAAACCCAGGAGAAAACTCCGGGAGTCAAAAGATAAGTTGCTACATTGCAAGGGATTGTCTCCACCGTAAAGCAAGGACAAGTGTCTACTTTGGTTCCCAAATTTCAGAAAGTCATACTACACACTGGAAATTCTGCGAACAATGGTATGAGGTAGAAAACAGTACCACTAGAAGAATTGAGAGAATGATGTTTACAGTAGTTCAGGAATAGTTTTTGGTTTTAAGGAGAAAAATCGGAGCTTGGCTAGCATTCGTATGTGATGACGCGGCACCCTCTTGAGGCATAAAAGGATACATTCCCCCCCAAATGGCCTAGGAGGCCTTGTTAATACCTGGAGGGGGTTTAGAGGTTTTGCCCCATGACCCTCGGGCCAGCCTCATGGGGCCAAGGGGCCCGATCAACCAGGTGTTACTGCTGGCCACACAATCCAAATTTTGAACCCCGTCGGCTGGGGCAGGTACTGACTTTAGGGGCCTGTCCAGTGCCTGTTGAAGGGGCGCCAGGGGGCTATTGGTAAAACCCCGATGCATGCTGGGAAAATGTTGAAATTTGGGCCCCCGAAACTTTTTGTGTTCTCTTTTGTAGTGGTTCCCGCTCTTATTGGGGGGATGTACTGTCTGCCCAGCCTGCTTTCTGGGATGATTTTTGTGTGCAAATTTGGTCCTTCCCTCTGGGGTTTTCCAGGGGTATATAATCGCTTCTCTCCCACCTGCTTTAGGGAAAAAGGTTAACGAACTTAAGCATTCCCGTAAATTTTGGCATTTTTCGCAGTGTTTTGCCGTGAAGGTTCTCTGTACATTTTCTAGGTCAGCAATTTCACCTGCCTGAAAGGTGCTGTTAGTGTGCAGCAATATTAAAACCTAGATAGAACAAGTGACCTCAAGAGTGTCATGGGCTTGGCATCCCTAGTTTTGAAGGTTCTCATTATCCATCCTGCCAAATGGAGAAGGAAGTGAAGAAGTATCATCTGGTAATGGTTTTTCGGGTATTTAGGTGTACGACCAGTTATTCCGATGTGGGATGGGTGGGCTATCCGAAAAGCACTGCACCGTAGAGGGCGAAGCCAGAAGCATGGTCTAAGAAGTGCGGAGGTCAGATACATTAAAGGAGTCAGGTTGGAGTGGGTGAAAAATGGCACCAGCAGGAGGTACGGGGGAACGAGAAATGTCTGAAGACTGGTCAAATAACGAGGTAGTCGGAACAAGGTGCAGTAGCAGAAAGGGGCCCAGGGAGAGCAGTTTCATGGACTTTGAACTCCATAGTAATGTCACTTTTTTTGTTTAGAGAGAAAAAAAGGGGGGAAACATGGAGGGATAGCTCCTAGGAGGAATGAAAGGGCCATAAATCCCCCTCGGCACCCAAGAGGACCCCAGCACCTCAAGTAGTGAAGATGCGGCATGAAACCCATGCCATACCCTACCTTTCATGCCAGTAAACCAGCAATCTGGGATAGCAACCTCACATCTACTGAGCCACCTCAGTAGACAAGAGAGGGCGGCTGGATACCCGCCACAAAGCATACCTCCTTCAGCTGCCACCACCCCCCGGAATCTGAAAGGCAGCTTCCAGAGATAAACCTGTCACCTGAAAAACACCCAAAGCCACCCTGTAGGAGATAGAAGGAGTGGGATATTCCCAGGTGATCCAGATTCCATGGCAAACTATACCACCATGAACCTCAACAGAATGGGATGGACCATGGTACCCTTCCTGCTACCTAAGAACTCTAGTGCATGTGGGAAAAATCCCAAAGCCTGAAAACAGGAAGGGGATAGGGTAGGGATGGGGAGAGAAGGAAATGGAAAAAGGGGGATGGGGAGGATTGGATAGGGAAGGGGGGTTTGGGGGCAATTAGGTTCGGTCTGAGGAAGGAGACCAAAAGGTCTAATTCCTCAGACCAAGAGCCTCTTCACCACACCAAGGAGTCCCCCGTGATAAGGTGTACAATGGAAAGTGATAGTGCTAACCAAGGTACCAGTGGATGAACCACGAGTCAAGGATCAGTACTTCAACCCTTACTGTTGCTGGTACAAATAACCTAGTGAAAAACCTAAACTGGGTATCACTTTGCAGGTCTGAGAAAAACCATGGGAAAGGGGGCCCCAAGATAATTAATAGGCTAGACATAGTGAAATAAGTGGCTTCTCAGTAAAGAATAAAAAAAGTAATTTTTTCCATATTTGCTCAAGTTATGTAAATTTTTAAAAAATTATTTTATTCCTCTTATGCTGAATAATGTAGTTTATGTGGAAAATTTTGGATTTTCCTAAATTCAGCATGTGTAAAACTGAATACAACTGTGTAATAAAATGTGATGCTGATTTGACCCTCTTGAGAAATTTCAATTGGGACGGGGGTTGTAGATCAGCGGCAGAGGGACGTGGAGTAGACACGCCATAATGAAAATGTGTGAACACTGGACTGAATTGTGCAGTGTAATCAGGCATTCTCAAAGGTCAGTTGGTGTATATCGACCTCAGTCCGTAATTTAAAAATTGCAGACACATTCCTGCTGAAGAATTGGGATAGTGTGGAAAACCCTTAGAATTCGGCAACAACGACGAAAAATAAAAGATTCCAATCCTTCCCAGCAACACACTTTAGCTAAGTGATACTTACCCATAATGTACAGTATTTTTTATGTTGCCCATTGTAAATTCTAACTGTTAGGGTAATGTTAGGATGTGTTCCATCAGCATTAAGTGTCTTCCTGTCACAAGTGCATAAATTTTATTGTTCTAATGATTTGGTTAGGAGAAAACCTTCCCTAGTCTCTAGAAATATTCCCATTAACCATTTCTAACAGTCAGGTCCTAAAATCATACACAGCCTACATTAATTTATAATTTATCATTATTCGTATTAATGTTTAATGTTGTAATTATTAATGTTAGGTCTAGCTTTTTTTTTGTGGGAGTGGGCATAGAGCGAGCGAGTTTGGCGACCTACTGTGACCAAGTCCCACTTACCTCGCCCAAATTCCTTGCAGGAAATAATTCAGGTAATACCCTGTAAACCACCTGCAGGTAATTTCCCACAGTTTACATCTAAAACATTGTTAGGCGCATGCCACTAGTATGTAAATGCATTTCAGGCAAACTAATTCTAATGCTTAAAACTAATTAAGAAATATGCTTAAGTAGGACTTTTATGCAGTTAATTACAGTTATATACACAATAAGAATATACGCACTGTGCTGAAAATTTTTCACTTCCAGCTATGGTTAAAGATGTAAAAAACACTGCACTCTTGATAGACAATGTGCTGATATCCAATGAGTTTGCTAAACCCTTCAGGAGTTTTAGCAACTGAAGCTCATTCAAGTTTTTTTTTTTTGGCGGCATTACTGATTTGTTAGCCATAATGCCAAAGAATGCCTTCTGAAGAGCAGCTAAACTAATTTGAATGAAGCAGTTCAGTCTTACCATAATGATTTTGCATGTTAGGCATTTGTTTTTCCTTGTCACGATTATATGGTCAGTTGGCACAATTGCAAATTTTTCCTCATCAGGGATCAGCACACAGCTGATTTGCCAAAGTCAAACTAAACTCGCTAACCATTACGATTATTCTCATAGCCTTTCTACATTTGGTAACGAGTAAGATATTATAACAATTATATTTCACTTTGAATTTTAATTCATTTATATTTCATGAACAACCAACTGTACATATTAATAAGAAGTTACCTGGTGTTGAAGAATGGTGGGGGCGAACCACATACCAGTCTTCCTCAGGGTTTGGTTCATCCAGCATTAGGTTAACTTGTGATTGTAACTCTTCTTTATTTTCAAAGTTGCAGATGAAAGCCTGTATCTTAGGCTGCCACATTAGCCATGGAGGGGCATGTATCCGACACAGGTAACCTTCACAACTCGCCTCAAATTTATTTAGCAGAGGAGATTTAATCAGCTTACTGGATACTGATGATAATGGCGTCTGTGGCGTTTTTTCCTCTTTACATCTGTTCTGGTCTTTTACATCAGACTTCAGTACTGGCGAGTTCCAAGGAGTCCTGGGTGTCACTATTTGCTCATCCCCATCACTACTGAAGCTCAAAGATTTTTCCATCGCTAATATCCATTCTTCACTGGATTCTCCTTGACAACTTAGCCAAGTATCCTCAGGGAAGCTCCTAGTCCTATCCAAATGAGGAGATGATCTATTAAGCTTACATACACCTTCAACCGCATCGTTACAGAGCGCACTCTCTTTTGTACAACCAATTTCATTTTCTCCATTGTCCTGCGGATATTTTGGGTTAAATCCGTTACCCTCTACATTTTCATATTTGATAGGCGATGCAAGCTTTTGTAGCTTTTTCTTCACTTTGTCATGCATATTCCGGAAGGGGGTCAGTACATAGTCCTCTAACCTCTCAAGTGTGCTGATGAGTGACAAGGATTTATTTGGGCTATCATTAAAGTCATCCTGATCCACGTAAGAACTACTTAAAGGACCAATTATATCCTCTTCACTTTGGCTGGTATCAGCCGTACACGACAAACCATGTTTACTACAACCTTCATGGAAAACTTTATATAAATTATCATTTACATCTTCCTTTTCGCTCCCTGTTGACTTTATTACGTCTGTCGAGTGTGCATGTATGCTGGGAGCACCAGAACAATGGCAAAACACTTCAGCTTCAAGACCATTCTTTATTGCACTGGACTCCCATGAGGTTTGATGAACATCGAGAACAGCACCCAGAGACTGGTTCAGGCTGGTGGAGCACTCTGATAACCGATCGTAATCTGGCAGAGGCTGCGATGCGATCCATTCCATCATCATGAATGACACCTGCCAAAATAAACACTGCTAGAAAAATTTAATTAAGGGTGCTGTACAAAACATTCTTACAAACCACAGTACGGGTGGGGTTAGAACCGATGATGCATGGGTTTTAAAACCCCAGCCCAGAGGTTTGTGCACTGGTCTGGATTTTTACAACTCACTCGCCATGGGTTCTAACCCTACCCATAGGTTTTTTTTTTTTGCATTATGTTATTACGGTTTTCGCAGTCATATTCCTGTCCCTATTACACATTTAATCCCATGACTCATTGAAGATCATAATGACACGATTGCAAACAACCCATTACCACGGGGGAGGGATAGAACCGTGATCAGCGTTTTCAATTACTCCAGACCGATTCGCGTTAGCCACCGACCAGCTAGCACAATAAGATTTCGTCCAACTAGGTATATTTTCTACACCATCCGAAGGTTAGCATAGGCACCACTGACCACAAATGAGTTTTTTGACGAATCTCCAGTAGCGTGCCGACCAATAGTATTTTCTATACTAGTTTGGACGAACCTTGTGGCTAGCTGGTCCAGTTGCTAACCAATGGGTCTGGAGTTGACATGCGCTGATCGGGGTTCTATCCCAGCCCGTAGTACATTTGTTGCAATCGTGTCATTAGGATTTTCGTGAGTCCATGTTAACGGCTTTGAGTGGGAACTTAAGCAGAGTTCGTACACGGCCCGCTAGCTGGAGATTCGTCCTGGTAAAAACTTTCATTTGTGGTCAGTGGTGCTTATGCAACCTTCTATGGTGTAGAAATTACTTTTAGTTGGACGAATTTTATTGTGCTAGATTAGTGGCCCTCGATGTAATTGCACAAGCAGTATTCCTCAAGGAAAAAGGAGGAGTAGATGTAAAATAGAAAGGGGACAAGGCGCTCCTTTACAGGCGACGGAAAAGATATCAGAGCGGTTCCTAAAAGAGGATCAATATATCTGAAAAGGCGTAGGGAGAACACGGTCAGAGGAAAATAGCCAAGCATCGAAACTTAAGCTAAAAGAAATCTTATAGGAGTCAGGAATCGCGGGAAGAACTAAAAGCCATAAATGAAATCTAAAGAAACCCAAAGTATTTCTTCTCCTATGCCAAATCAAAGTCGAGAACAACGTCCAGTATTGGGCCTCTACTTAAACAAGATGGGTCCTACATAGATGACAGCAAGGAAATGAGTGAGCTACTCAAGTCCCAATATGACTCAGTTTTTAGCAAGCCGCTAACCAGAGTCGAAGATCAAAATGAATTTTTTTATGAGAGCCACAGAATTTGGTTAACAAGCCTATCTGATGTTATCCTGATGCCAAATGACTTCGAACAGGCGATAAATGACATGCCCATGCACTCTGCCCCAGGGCCAGACTCATGGAACTCCGTGTTCATCAAGAACTGCAAGAAGCCCCTATCACGAGCTTTTACCATCCTATGGAGAGGGAGCATGGACACGGGGGTCGTCCCACAGTTACTAAAAACAACAGACATAGCCCCACTCCACAAAGGGGGCAGTAAAGCAACAGCAAAGAACTACAGACCGATAGCAATAACATCCCATATCATAAAAATCTTTGAAAGGGTCCTAAGAAGCAAGATCACCACCCATCTAGAAACCCATCAATTACACAACCCAGGGCAACATGGGTTTAGAACAGGTCGCTCCTGTGTCTCAACTATTGGATCACTACAAGGTCCTAGATGCACTAGAAGACAAAAAGAATGCAGATGTAATATATACAGACTTTGCAAAAGCCTTCGACAAGTGTGACCATGGCGTAATAGTGCACAAAATGTGTGCTAAAGGAATAACGGGAAAAGTCGGTCAATGGATCTATAATTTCCTCACTAACAGAACACAGTAGTAGTCAACAGAGTAAAGTCCGAGGCAGCTACGGTGAAAAGCTCTGTTCCACAAGGCACAGTACTTGCTCCCATCTTGTTCCTCATCCTCATATCCGACATAGACAAGGATGTCAGCCACAGCACCGTGTCTTCCTTTGCAGATGACACCCGAATCTGCATGACTGTCTTCCATTGCAGACACTGCAAGGCTCCAGGCGGACATCAACCAAATCTTTCAGTGTTCTGCAGAAAACAATATGAAGTTTAACGATGAGAAATTTCAATTACTCAGATATGGCAAACACGAGAAAATTAACTCTTCATCAGAGTGCAAAAATTCTGGCCACAAAATAGAGCGAAACACCAACGTCAAAGACCTGGGAGTGATCATGTCGGAGGATCTCGCCTTCAAGGACCATAACATTGTATCAATTGCAATTGCTAGAAAAATGACAGGATGGATAATGAGAACCTTCAAAACTAGGGATGCCAAGCCCATGATGACACTCTTCAGGTCACTTGTTCTATCTAGGCTGGAATATTGCTGCACACTAACAGCACCTTTCAAGGCAGGTGAAATTGCTGACCTAGAAAATGTACAGAGAACCTTCATGGCACGCATAACTGAGATAAAACACCTCAATTACTCGGAGCGCTTGAAGTTCCTGAACCTGTACTCCCTGGAACGCAGGTGGGAGAGAGACATGATTATATACACCTGGAAAATCCTAAAGGGACTAGTACCAAACTTTCATACTAAAATCACTCAACGAAAGCAAAGACTCGGCAGACGATGCAACATCCCCCCAATGAAAAGCAGGGGTGTCACTAGCACGTTAAGAGAATACAATAAGTGTCAGGGGCCCAAGACTGTTCAACTGCCTCCCAGCATACATAAAGGGGATTACCAATAGACCCCTGGCTGTCTTCAATTATTATTATAATCAAAAAGAAGCGCTAAGCCACAAGGGCTATACAGCGCTGCAGGGTAGGGAAGGAAGCAAGGGAATTGGATGGCAGAAGGGAGGGGGGATGATCAGCAGGTTACAGAAAACAGCGGGGCAGGGGATAGTACGGGGGTAGAGGGTAGCAAGAGATTCAAGTAGAAAGGGCTGAAAGTATCAGAATTTGTGAAGTAAGTCAGTCGTTGTCAAAAAGTCAATGAGAGAGTCCGGATGAAAGGTGGGTCCATCAGCGAGAAGGGAAGGTAAAGAGAGAGCAGCGGGGCGAAGACGACGACAGAGGTAAATTCTGCGTGCTCGTTGATAAAGTGGGCAGTCCAACAGAATGTGGCTGACTGATAATGGAGCTTGGCAATTCTCACAGAGAGGAGCAAGACGCCTCTCCATGAGATATCCATGAGTAAGAGAGTATGGCCAATGCGAAGACGGGAGAGAGTAGTCCCCAACCTCGACACTGGTGATAAGAAGACGGCCAGTAACCTATACTCGGTTTAATAGACTGAAGTTTGTTGCCCAGCATAGTAGACCAACGTTGTTGCCAACGGGTGTGAAGGTGGGAAGATATTACAGCAAAATAGTCCGTACATGGAATACCTCTATAAGAAACTGGTAGGTCATGTACTGCTGACCGCGCAAACAATGTCTGCCTGTTCATTGCCCTGTACGTCAACATGACCAGGGACCCAACAAAAAACAATATCTTTATGCTTAGTAAAGATGCGGGGTAGCCAAAGTTGGATACGGAGGACTAAGGGGTGAGGTGTATCAAATTTTTTTGTATAGCCTGTAAAGCACAAAGGGGAGTCTGAACAACCACAAATGATGACCAGGCATAGATGCAATACGGATAGCGCTGTAAGGAGGCATAAAATTTCAGCAGTAAAAATACTGCTGAAGATAGAAAAATCCCCGTACGATGCGCCCGGGAAAACATGCGGGAAACCTACGCCGTAAAAAACTTAGACCCTTTGGGAAAAAAGGGGAAAAAATGAGAGGAAAGGGGGTAAAGAAAAGAGAGGGGGGAAGCGACCGTAGACATTGGGCTTTCGAGCAAGGGAGGGAAAAGAACAGACTCGAACAGCGGGAAATTTTCCCCCGGGGGGTGGGGAAAAAAGTAAAAAGGTACATGTACATAAAAAGGGTGGTATTGAAGAAAAGAACGAGCGAATGAAGGCAAGAGAAAGGGACGAGAAGCGGGGGGGGCCGAACAATAAAAAAAATGTCTCAAATATCATGACCATTCTATAAAGGAAGATTGCGGAGATATGAAGCGTAGAAGTAGCGCAGGCAAGGGCTTTTCACGGCGATCGGATAAGGATGGAACTTTCGTTTCTCTAGAGGCTTTCGACAGGGAAGAGGAAAAAGCACCAAGGCAAAAAAACAAACCCTTTTGGTGATAAATGGGGTTAAGGCTAGGGGAAGTAGCGGGAGATGCCGCTAAAAGATCTGGCACCAAAATCAAGTTTCGAAAAAAATAAGGGGGAATGGGTGAAGGAGGGTTCGACGATAGCCCCCCAAAAAAGATGAGAAAGGGTTTTTAAGAAGGTTCACCGGGCTGTGACAATTTGCTTCAGAGAGGTAATGTGAGGTTTCCAGGATAACCTCATCAAAGAGGAGGCCCAAAAACTTGACTGTATCCGTTCGGGTAGGAGCCATGGGGTACAAAGGATGATCGAGATGACAAGCGTCTAGTGAAAGTGATTTGGGGGGTTTTTTAGTGGGGGGAAAATTAAACCCCCATGTGTGGGGGCCCCCTTTGGAAACACGGTCGACTGCATGCGGAAGAAACTGTGGGGAGGTGACGCACGCCTCACAGGCAATAGCGAATTTCCCAACAAGAGTGTGCCCAAAATTTTTGATGGAAAAAACAAAGGGGGCCAAATCTTTAAATAGAAAGGGAAAAAAAAAGTGTTTTTTCTCAGAACACTCCCGGGGGGACACCTTCACTTGGATAAAGCCCCCGGGAAGAAACATTATTAACCCAACACGGAAATCCCCTGTCATTTAAAAAGTTTTTAAAGGGGAAGGAGGGTAAAATTGCCTCAAGGCCTAAGGAGTGGGTTTGGGGCTAAATTTTACCTCCAAGTTTGCATATCCCCTTCTAAAAGGTAAAAAAATATGGAAATAACGAGGGGTTTTTTTGCAAAGGCATTACAACATACGTACCCAAAGCCAGAAAAGGGGTCTAGGGGAGAACGCCC